TCCTACCTCTCCTCGCCCGGCTGCTCCCTTGCCCCGTCGCCCGCCGCGCCCTCGCCCGGCCTCAAGAGCTTGGCGGCCTTTGTCCGCCAGCTCAAGGCGTGGGACGAGGCGTGCGCCGACGGCCGCTCGTCGTGCTGGTTCGAGACGGAGGGCGACCTCCCGCGGCTGGCCGGGGAGGCGCTGCTGGCCGAGGCGGCCGCGACGGGCGCGAGGCGGATCGCCTTTGACGCCGTCGCGGCGCGTCTCGAGGCGACCGCGGCGCCGCCGCCGCCTCTCGGCACCGCCTTGGCCGCGTGGCCCACGGGATGGGGCATCGAGGAGGGCAACTTCTGCGGGCTGGCGCACTGGGCTGTGGAGGTGTGGCACGCGGCCGGGTCGGTCGACGCGAGCCGGTGGCAGGTCGAGGCTGACGGAGGGCGCCTCTTCTTTGTGCGGGTCGCGGAAAAGGCCGCATAATCGCGCTCTCCGCCGAGGCCCGCCTCGGCGACGGCGCTCGCCGCGTAGCAGCAGCAGTAGCAGCAGCAGCAGCAGCACGTGATTCTTGACACATGATTACACTACACAGTCCTCCCTTCGGTTGTCGTTTCGACCCTGTTTTTTTCTTCTATCGCAGCGCACTCGCATCTGTGAGCCTAGCGCAGCGCGAACTCGCCGTCTGAGCCTAGCGCAGCGCGAACTCGCTCTGAGCCTAGCGCAGCGCCTCGGAAAACACCATTTTGGCTCGCCAACAAGCCCTCCGCGCCCCCACACCGTTAGGATAATACATTTTCCCCGCGAAATTTTGGCGAACCGGCACCAGTCGACACCGGCACCGTAGGGCATGGCGGCGTGCCGAGAGAGCCTCCGGGCGCTCGGCCTCAATCAGGGCGCGACCCCGGCCGAGATCAAGACCGCCTTTCGCATGCTCGCCAAGACGTGGCACCCGGACAAGCACTCTGGCGCGAGCAAGGCGGCGGCGGAGCAGCGCTTCAAGCAGATTGCGCTGGCGTACGAGACACTGGTGGCCGAGGAGGCGGAAGCTTCCTCCTCCACAGCGCGGGGCGGCGGCCGCGGCGCCGGCCCGCGCCGCAGCCGAGAGCGCGCCTACGAGACGTGGGGCACGAGAGCGCAGTACGGCTCAGCGTCGCGGCCAGGGTACAACCCGTACCAAGGGTACATGGACTTTGGGGCGGACACGCCCGCTGGCGAGGCGCGCGCGCGGACTGAGCGCCGGCGCATGCAGTGGACCCTCGGCTGCGTCGCGACCTTTGTGCTTGGGCTGAGCGCCGTCACGCTCTCGGCGCGGAGAGACAACCGGCGGCTCGAGTCGGGCGAGCTGGTCGAGGCGTATTTCAACCAGGTGACGAGGAGGTGGGAGAAGGCGTCGCCGTCGATGAAGCGCGACCCGCTCCTCTCCACCCTCGTCCACCTCAAATCGCCAGAGGCGCGCCAAAGCCCGCCGCCCACTGCCGCCCCGGCCCGACCCCTTCCCAAGCAGGCGGCAGCGCCCAGCCAAGGCGGCCCACCGGCCCAAA